TTTATATATCGAAGCTCACTTATAAGAACTTTCCTCCATGTAATATTATAAAATATACCCAACTATTATCCTTTGATCCTGTTTTTATTATCTGTAAATACTTTATGTAATTTTCCTCAACATTTATTTTCAACAGTGCCCTTTTGATAGGGCTTATTCCAGGGGTGACCTCTCCAGTTTTGCCGCATAATTGAATGAGTTGCGAATGAGGCCAACCGGCAGCTGCCTGGTCACCTTTTCACTTGTTTTATTTATATGCAAGTCACGCCCCCTTCACTGCCACCCCTCGAAGGATTTTGTGTTCAGCTGAGCAGTCACCGGACCCGCCGCACTTATTAATAAACCAAAAAGGCGATGCACAACCAGAGGCGTCACCCTGACGCGTCGCGGCCTGCATTGAAAGCAAAGGCTAAAACGGATGCCCGCAGATGCCGAGACGTAAATAAACTGCAGCTAATTTGAATGCACCGACCTTGAGACTCGCTCTCTGGCTCAGCCGCCCCAAAAAAAAGGAAACAATTGCCACAATTTGCATTGTGCCAGGCGGGGCAAGGATGCATCTCTGGCCTCTGGCCGATGTCTTGAGATCGCGTTGAGTTGGAAAGGTCAGGAGGAAGGGCTGCTGCTGGCGGAACAACCCGCAGAATCCAAAAGGGGACACTTGACCCACTAAAACTGATGTTTAGAGATGATATGACTGATGATGATGAGATGCGGATGAGCCTGCATCCTTGCTGGGTGTAATCCTTTCAAGGGATGCGGCACATGGGCCGCGGCTTAACCCAAATACTCGTCGTGTGTGTTTGCAAATAATGAAGCTTTTGTGTTTGGACCGCTCTGTCGATTGGCCTTCGAACGTTGCAAGAGCGTGGATGACGTCATAGGCATATAGTATATTTGAGTGTATGTGTATATATATAGAACCCATTCGGTGGCTTTTGCTGAATGTCACGCCCCGCCTTTCAGGTTAAATTTAGCCAAAACGGAGCCCAAAACGAGGCGACAGCCCATAATTGCCAGAGAAATGTAAAAATAAAATACTAAAATCGACGGCAATAGCATTGGGGCCTATAGCATTTAAGAGGCTTACCGCACCACACGCGCCCCATTAGACCAGGCCACCCCCTCAACCACCCAACCACTCAGCCGCCCCTCGAAAGTAGGCAACGAAAATGGGCCAAAGTGAACGACAAATGTTTATGGCTCTGTCGAAAGTCAGAGGGCAACAAAAACATGGCTTGACAAATGAGCTGCCGGGAATGGGAATTTTAATTGTTAAGGCTTTGGCAGAAGGGAAAGGAGCGGTTAACTGCTGCAGTCGTCAGAAGATATGAACTTTGAGTGTTATGGATGAAACTTCAAATCGAAAAGAGAAAGAATGAAGGTGAATAAAATGTTATTACAGAGAGCTCTTAAAGGTCAAGCGTTAAATAACAGAAAGGAAGGGATAATAGAGATTGTAACTCTTAAGAGACATTATTTATATTTAGAGCATATTGTTGAAACTATACAATGAATTTAGATCACATAAATTATAATATATATAACCTAAAGATCTAAAATACTTTCTTTACTCCTTCTAAATAGAATAAAACCCTATAGTAACAAGTTGTGGATCGGAAATATATATTACTCTTGCCAATCAGTAAAGTTTTGGGCATCAAATGACCTTTAGAAAACGTAAATCAAAGTTTGTGACCTTTACACATCAGTTTAAATAAATTAAAATATAAACTGTAATCACTTTTTCACTAAAACTTTATGTAAAAGCATTTCCAGAAGATACTCATACCAAATAAATACAATTTCGCCTTAAATTCCATGAAAATCATCCAAGTTTCCTAACAATTAAATTAAAGCAAACTTTCCATGTCAAATTACAGGACACAGAAAAAACACACACAAAAATCCGAGTATACAGAACAAATGTCCAGTGAAATCTAGGCAGTATCCTGCATCAATTAAGCGGCTCTCAAGTCCTGGTCATTTGTCGGGTCAGTTAGGGGGATTAAATACCAAAGTCAGGCTCACACACAACCAGACACACCCTCGCTTACGCACAGCAGCACAGAACGGCAGCGACAGCGACAGCGACAGGATATGGAAGCTGGGTGTGTATCCTTCAACTGCAGTTTAAATGCCAAATCAGCGTAAATTGCTCGTCTGGGTGTGAGGCGGGGGGGGATGATGCAGGGTGGGGCTGTCCAAAGGACCTTTGGCTTCTGCAGAATTTGCCTGCTATTTTGCGTAGCTTTTGTTGTTGCTGCTTTCATAATGTCACTCGACGGCGACTGCAATGTCCTTGCAGGACGAGTTCATTGGCCCAAAACGCCGAGCTGCAGCCTGCAGTTGCGCTCAGAGAAACACACACAGAGAGAGAGAAAAGAAGTGGTAGTAAGAGAGAAATCTCAGGGAGAAAGGATTGCGACTAAAAGCGGAGAGAGAGAGGCCATGCTGGGCCGGTTCAACGCTCGGCAAGTAGGTTATAAAAGGCAAAAGGCCGGTCCACAGCTATGACGTCATTGTGAAAGCCGCACACAAACACACGCCTAGTAAAATGGATGGTTGATGGGGGGGGGCGGGTAAAAAGGCCCAACCTGCATCTGTGTGTCCGTGTGTAAAGGCGGCTTAATTTTCAGTTGAGAAAACAGAAAAATATGCCAACTTTTACTTTTAGACTTTGGCCCGGACTACCCCAATTTTCCGCAACCCCTTTCCACTTCCACCCACTGAGTGAGTATGTGTGTTTGTGTGTCTCTGCAAGTGTGAATACACTCATCTACGCCAGTGAGTCTATAAAATGGGCACAAGGGCATTTAATGCGGCATTTTGTGCTGACAATTTTCTTTTTCCAGCCAGGATCACAATAACGCAAGTGCACATAAGCCGAAACAAAAGAAATGCGAATACAAAACAATATAATGCGCAAATATGTTAATCAATGGCAGCACGTGTCGCCGGCACTTAAATAATAAATATTAATAGCCTAAAAAAGGGGTTAAAAAAGGGGTTTCCTTCTCAAAGAAAACGGAGGAAAAATAGAGAGAAAATAAAACTGCAGAAATATGTTAAGCAATACCATAACTGTTTGGCAATTCAAAAGGGGAATTTCCATCAGCAAAAGTGGTTTAGAAAAACAGAAGCAAACAAAGCTAAACGAGCTTTGTATACTCCTGCAGTTTCGAACTGAATCAGGGAATAAAATTGAAATCGATCTTAAACATGCATTAATTTCTTATTTTTTACATGACTAAAAGGACTTGGTTATTGATTCTGATCAAAAATATGTACAATTTATAGAGTCGGAAATGTCTATTTCATAAATTAAAATACCTTGCAATGGCAATATAGATTAAAAGGTTATATAATTATGTAAAATTTAATACACTTTATATACTACTTTTAATATTAATATTTTCTACATAAGCATATCAAAACTCAAGCAAAACTACAAAACAATACATTGTCACCCTGCCCAAAACGTGCTCAGTCCTTAATAACAATGATTAACAAGTCAAGCAAGACTAGACATTTGTCTAGTCTCATTAGCATGCGATTACGGATCGAACCAGCAACAAAAAAAATCAAAGAAAATGTTGTAACAATGGCTGGGCTGGGAAAATAATGTGAGGTGGCAAAAAGGAAGCCAGACAACAGTGCGGAAAAGCCAGAGACCCAGACGAAGAGATACCAGGACATAACAATGCGACTGGCATCACACACAATAATGGGAATCAGACAACAAGCAGGTGCCATAACAAGCACATCAGACTGAACTTTAACCCGATGCCAGAAAAAAATGAGAAGGAAAAACGAGGGAAACCGGCAAAACGAGCCTTAATAAATAACCGAGCTCCAGTGTCCGCCTAATGGAATATGCGAAGGAATTTACAAATATCCATAAGCCGGCAGAAAAAAATTCCGTTCTGTCATGCGCTAATTATGAGCAGTCAACCTTTTGACGAGCCCCCCGAGTGGAAATTTTTGAAAGTACGAGAGCGAAGATGAAAATGTGCCTGAAAACCAACGAAAACAGAAACCCAAACACACACCCAATGAATGGAAGAGAAAAATTAAATATAGGTATAGTAAATACCCTAACAAAAATATTAAGATAAACTTACCAATAAAATTTGTAACTTGTTAAAATAATATTTAAGCATAACCAATGTTTAGGGAAAGCCTTATATTATAAAAGTTTTCTTACAGCTTGAATTAATGTTTTAATTTTAAACTATAAAACCCTAATGAAACTATTAAATTAAAATACCTATCTTCAAGCATAATTTTAGGCATCTAAATTTATAATTGCTTTAATATAACAACAAAATAAAGGCTTCTTTCAACCCCTTTTGCTAATGATATATTCTAGAACTTCCATGGCTAAAATGTATGTCTATTTTCCATTTAACTTATATACCCAAATAAAATAGACAAGCCCCCTGCCAAAGGAAGACTCATAAAAATGAACAAAAATATTCCATTTGCTTGAGGGAAAACAGGAGGCAAACAGAAAATAGCTTTCTCCCCACTGGAAAATCCTTGAAAGACACAAGCGCAAAGCGTGCACCAAAAATTGAACGGAAAAGTACAGCGTGAAATTTGCATGAGACAAATGTGGAAAAGTACTTCCAACTACTCCCAAAAACTGGATGAATGGGTTAAAGAATAAATGGAAAAGGAAAATATAAGAGGGAAAAATTCCAAAAAAAAAAGGCAGAAGCCAGAAAAAAAAGGTAGTCAGAAATCAACAAGTAAAAGCCTTCGGTGACCAATCAGAAATGTAAGGCAAAAACAGAGAGAAATTCAAGTGAATTACTTATTAACAAGAGTTTTCTAAGAAATTATTTCAAAAAGCATATTAAATTAATTAAATATACTTAGAATAATTAATTAAATTAATAAATTTTCTTTAGGAAAACAAATATTTGCATTTTATTTAATGGTAAGATATAATAATAGTTGATGTAGGAATACTTTTAAATAAAATGCTTTATACATAATTGTTGCCTTTGTTTACTATAATTAATTAATTAACTTTCATGTTTCCTTTTTATCACTTTCAGTATTTCGCACTACCTTCTCCGGATAATCATCTTCCTTCTTAAAGAGATAACACTGCAACCACTTGGAGTCCTGGTATAGACCGGAGAATACTGGCTGCCAGTTATTGATCAAATGACGAGCCTTTTCATCAGGACTATCGAATCGATTCCTGTTCCGGCGACAGACCTCCACGAATCGAGCGCCTATGAGCTGGGCCAACTCAATTCCTTGAGGAGTGTGCGACTCGTGACACAGATCCTTTCCGGCAAACAGCTGCTCAAAGGCAGCTCGTTCCGCATGAAACTGGCTGCCAAAGAAGGGAAAATGCCGGTGCTCGATGAGGGAAATGAACTCCACTCCAGACGAATCCATTTGGGTGCCCAAGGTATGCCAGTCGTTGGCCAGGCCAAAGGATTCCAGGCTCTGTTCGGTGACACAGTACTGATGTTGATGTGAGGCAAATGGCACACGTTCCATTTGCTCCGCCGCATACGTGGGTAGATCCTGCAGGAGCTGCGACTTAAGGTAGTCCTCGGACAGTCTCAATGGCATTGCCTGTTGGATGTGCATACAATCGGTGCGAATCTTGGGAGTTTCGGCGGCATGTATTAGGAGTAACTGAAAGCCCAGACAAGTGCCCCACAGGGGGAAATATCCACCGGCATCATTCTCCTTCTTTGCCAGCTTATTCCGCTCCATGGCCAATTGGTATATGTGCTCCGCACTCCTTACACAGTCGTTGGTTAGTTTCGGATTGGACTTCATCTCGGCTTCCTCGAAGAATACCGCTCCGCCCGGCAAAAGGATGCCATTTATCTGGTCCATTATCCCCTTGTAATAGGCACGATCGCGGCCAATCCTGCAAGATAATTAATTTATTATTTTTATTATATTATAAAAAGGGAGAGCTTTAAAAGTGTATAATAATTTTCCCTTTAAGTTGCTTCTACCTATCCCATAAATATTACTGTTTGTACTTGTTTTCGTACATTTTTTTTTCTTAATATAAAATTAATTTCTATTTCATATTCACACTATTCAAGCATCCGGTGAAATCAAAAACCAAACCAAAGTACTATAAATAATTTTTAAAGATTGGCAGTATATATTATAAAACAACAAATGCATAAACCAAACACCCTCAGCTGAATTTACATTGCTTATTTGCATCATTAATCTCTCAATGAAAGCGAAAGCCAGAGCATCTACCGGCCATAATAAATAACCACAAATGAGCGATTTACCGCCTCATTCTTTAATAGCTTTGCATAGCAAAACACTTGGCACAGAGCCGAGTAAGATATTTAATTCTTTTATTCGCCCACTTTTGCATTCTGTTTCCTTTTCTTTGTTTATGCAATTTGTTTATCCCGTCACCGGCGATTGCCACTTACCAGATGGGAACTGCCATTGCACCCGCGGCCTCCAAATGCTTTGCATAGGAAGCTGCCAAGTAGCAGTACCACGGATGGCCATAGGCATTACTTAGCATTTTGGCCATATCGGTGCACATGATGCCAATACAAGGGGCAAACATGGTTTTCATTTTAAATGTTTCCTAGACTTTCACATTAGTTTGAACAACAAAACAAAGGCAACTAACTATGCGATGGAATGTGTTTTGACAAAAAAATTAAATCATGCAGAATTAAAATTTTAGGAAAAACTATATACATGTTAAGAGATTTTAAATCAAATTTGTATATGATCTAAGCAAGAAGATATATTTTTTACAGCTCCATTGTAAATTAAGTGTTTATTTAGTCGGATAATCTCTTGTTTTTCAGTTTTATTAGCTAAAAGTTTTATTTAAAAATATAGTTACAGTACGGACTGTAGTGTCTTTCTTTGGGACTTTAAACAATTTCTAAATTGGTAAAAAGATAACAGGAAATTGAATGTTATCGTGTATAAAAAATTTTCAAAATAGTTCATAACAATATATATTTATAGAATTATGTGTCCATTGTCAAGTGAAATTATAAAAAGATATCTAACTTGTATAAACAAATTTTAGTAATTCGTAAAGAAAATAAAGGTTTTTAAGCAACTCGAAGGTCAGATCAAAGTTCAACGACTATCTAGTATATTTCTCATTTTCATGCTCTTGTAAAATAAAACAAAGGGTTCCAGAATGGGTTAAAATAAAAGTAAGTACTTACCACACAGGTGCGACATGAGCACCGGATGCCTCCAGATACTTGATATAGGATGCCGCTAGATAACTATGGTATTCTTCCCCAAAGTGCTTCTGCAACTTCGTGGCAATATCGATGCACATGACGCCAATAGTTGGAGTATGCCCAAGAGGGGGTGGTGGCCCACTGGCACATGCGCCCTCCGACATCGTTGTCTTCAGTTTTTCTTATTAATTTTCCGACTTTGGCTAGTGCCGTACAAAAGCAAACTAAACGTAGAGAATCGGAAACTGCGCCCGCTGCAAGCTTTACAGAAGATGTGCAGTGAGCGGGCAATGTAAATGCAAGTGCTACCTACTTTTGGGGATACCGGGTAAATTTGGACTCTCGGAAATAATATAAACAAAGAACACTATAGTTGCTCGTCAGAGAAATACTCGGCACTGAAAATTTAAAGACAGAGAATGCGCAGTATACATTGAACATAAACTTTTCTTATTTGTTGTATAACAGTGCACATATACACGCTATATTTGGACGAGTAGAGAGAGCACCAGCAGCCAATATAAGTCCAAAGATGTTTATAGGTACCAAAAATGATCACGAATATAAGAAATGAACGAGAGATGAATACTAAGGAGATGACGAGAGCGGTTAATACGAGCCACACCGACAAAAGATCTTATTAAAATATATATTTAAAAATCTCCTAAAGCTATACAAAATCATTAAAGATATTGATCATACCAGTACCAAATTCTAATAGTACAAAAATCAAATAAACTTAGCTACCCTAATAGATAGTGGCTTATCAAATGCGCTTCTGTTATTACCAATATCTGAATGCCAATGAATCACAATCATTTTAATTGAATCACACGTAGCAACAAAGCAATTACTTTTAGAAATTCTTAGTGACGTAGAGAATTTTAATTGTTTACTTTGATAATAAAAAAAGAAAAAACAGATATCAATATGAAATCGATCAAAAAGCTTAATTCTATAAACAATAAAATAAGCAAAGTATTTATAGATAAATGTTCTTCTCCGTACATATGTATAAACATAGTAATAAGTCTTGTTTTGTTGATAAAAAAAATTTAGTTCCAAGATATGGAAATCTATGACCAAGGTTCATTTCCAAAACAAACCTGGCCAGCAATCAGTTAATTGATATGATCACCAAAGTGAGGAGGAACCCACTGAAAAGAGGTAATATTGCGGAGCTACCACCCCGCCATCTACAATAATGGGATAGGGGGATATAGTCCACCGTTGCCATCTCCGTCACCATCGCCACCCTCATCAGGAATATCAGGAATCTCTTCCAAACCCATTTCCTTATTGGTGAACAAATATTGCTGGATGTAACTGGATCCCAAGATCGATGTATACTCCGGCTTATAGTTGTAGATCAATCTCAAGGCCTCCTCTGTGGCATTAGCGAAGCTCTGATTACTTTTCCTGGCCTCACTCACAAGGAAATCCGAAAAGTATTGACCAGCTATAACTGAGGCAGCGTTGTGTGGAATGCTCGTCTTTGTGAACTCGTAGAGAGGCTTCTCCGGATGGAATTGAACTCCATAGAAGGGGTACTCCACGTGCTCAATGGTAGAAATAAACTCGATGCCATTCCAGTCATGATTCAGGGATATAACTCGCCACGTCTCATTCAAGAGATCCTCCTCAAAGTCCTTCTCTGTATAACAAAACTGATGCCAGTGATAGGTCACATTTTCTTGGACCATAGCCGACACTACTTCATCACTGATGGAGGTGAAGAGCCGACTCTTTTTATAATCTGATTGAGAAAAATTTTATGACTTTCAGATTAGCTAATTGACGATGTATCATACCTTCTTTGAACTCAACGGGCAGGGCAATGCCCTTTCCAGCGCAATCAATCCGATGTTCTCTGCCCTTGGCCAACTTGTAAACCAATAGCTCCATTCCCAGACAAGTGCCCCAAACTGGCATGTAGGTGCCCTCGTCATTGAGTTGCACCGCCAGCTGGAGGAGATGTTCACCTGCGTCGGCATAACCGTTGGTCTGGTTGAACCACGTGGCACCACCGGGCAGCAGAACTCTGTTAAGGCATTGATAAGTATAAATTTAAATGTAAAATCTGGGAACTTCCTAGAGGCTCTACTCACCCATTTATCTTTTTCATGACATCTTCGTAGTAGCTGCGATTGCGCCCGATCCTGTCAAGGGGAATTTAAAAATTGTTTATTTATTGTCTTTTGAGCAATCTTATCAAGATTTCAAAATAAAAATGGGACACTAAATAAAATTACTCGCTTATTTATTTATGTACTATAAATACACGTGTTTGAATTCTTAATGGCAACCCCTTCAATCTTATCTAGTCTTGATGAAATTATGCCTATCGTAGCAGTGATAACATCTTTTAATCTCCGACTGGTCAAATATGTATCTTTATCTGTCTGCGCACTTACCAAATTGGCAAAACCCGGGCTCCAGCTCCCTCTAGATACTTCACATACGAGGCGGCTATGTAGCTGGTCTTGTTATCAAAGTACCGGGAGATCAATCCATCTGTGTAGACTTCCTGAGTGAGAACTCCAATGATCGGGGAGGAGATGTCTGCCGAGGCACTCAGCAGGGAGCCGATGAGGATCAGCAGGCTCACCGAGATCATCTGCATTTTTTTGGGGGAGCTCTTGAAACTCGTTTTTTTCTGGAATGTATATTTTCAGAGCGATTAGGTCCCGATTCCCATGGTTATTTTTATTAACTTTATCTTGAAAAAAAGTATGTCTAGAGTTTTTGTTTTATATTTTTAAATTGGAATTTTTATGTGCCTAATCAAAGGCTGTTCCTCGCGAATATAAATCTTAAGTTTTAAGTACTTTTAAGTAATAAATATTCCCATTACTGTTACTGTAATGTTTGCATTTGTACCTTCTGATTAGTTAGTCTTACTACATACATATATGTATAAGTAAAAGGTTTTCTTTTCTTCGAAAGTGGTTTTATTCATTCCGAATTCCTACGTTAATTATAATGAGTTTAGTTAGTTGCAGCTGTTTTTATTTTCCTCATTTATATTCTTTTAAAAGTATTGCTGACGAGTTTGCGTTAGTTAAGGTTATTTCCTTTGTTTACTCGAAATTAGTTTCGAACAATTATTGCACCTACCCCAGTGTATTCCCGTCTCCAGAAGTGCTCCTCAGCCAGAAGTCGAGGCTATTCCACAGCTGGATCCAATTAGTGTCAGCTGCTAACCGAAACTGTCCGCTGCAGCGTCGAGCAGTTTCCATTTATACGAAATGGAATATAGAATGCGAATGTGTCAGTATTCGTGGGCATGAGTTTGCGGTATGACGATGTATGGGTTATGGGTTCTTCAATGGGTCTCCCCCCGGCAACTTGAGTCCACTAGATAGTACCGCGATTAATTGATTATATTAAGAATTCGAAGTGTTGACTTAGGTAAAGGGGAAAAACAATCTTAACATCCATTTAAGTCTGGATAAAGTTCAGTTTTGGTTAATTTAATTGATCTAGTTGATCAGTGACTAAGTGCACAAGATATTATTGTTTTAGGTTGATTATTAAATTATTGAATAAACTGTTTTATTTTTGTTGACCTAACAACTGATAAGTAGGAACGGCTTAAGTTGTGTGAATGATTGAAACCGATTGGCGTATCGATTATTAAAAATAATCAGCTGCCCAGCAAACTTTGATTTTTACTACTCTGAAGCTTAGTAGATACTTTGTCTCCACTGGATTGACGCCAATTATGTATAGCTTTTTATTGGCGTTTGCCAATAAATTGTTATCCAAAAGGATGCGCATGTCTCACTTCCAGGCCCATTTCCACGTTGCTGAATAGATATTGTTGAGTGTAAATGGATTTCAAAATCCCGGTATACTCCGGCTTATAGTTATAAATCAACATCATGGCCAGCTCTGATTCATTAGCGAAGCTTTGGTTACTTTTCCTGGCCTCACTCACAAAGAAATCGGCAAAGAATTGGCTGCTTACAATTGCAGCTGCAGTGTGGGGAATACTTGACTTGTGGAACTCGAATTGTGGCTTCTCCGGATGAAATTGTACCCCATAGAACGGGTACATGACGTGCTCGACGGTAGAAATAAACTCGGAGCCATGCCAGTCATGATTCACGGATAAAACACGCCATATCTGAGTTAAGGGATTATTCCGAAAGTCCTGTTCCGTATAGCAAAAGCGATGCCAGTGAGAGGTCACATTTTCCGTAGTCATAGCAACAGCTACATCATAACTGATAGTACCAAAGAGACGGCTCGATTTGTAATCTGTATGGATTAAAAATATATATCTGGTGGTTCAAAATATTATCCATTTATATACCTTCTCTAAACTCAATTGGCAGAATCATGTTCTTTGCATTGCAATCCACCCGGTGTTCTTTGTTGTTGGCCATCATGTAAATCAAGAACTCCATTCCCAGACAAATACCCCAAACCGGCATATATCTGCCCTTATGGTTTAACTCCACCGCCAGCTGCATGATATGTTCACCTGCCTCGGCGTAGCCGTTGCTTTGATTAAACCAATTGGAACCACCGGGCAGCAGAACCCTGTAAAAAAATGTAGTAAATCTAAAGTCCGGCTTGAAATTTATCCATGTACTCACCCATTTATCTTGTACATAAGATTTTTATAGTAACTGTGATTACGCCCGATCCTATCGAGGAATAATTCTAATTTTTAATTCATTTAAAGTTCAATTATATCTGCCTTACCAAATGGGCACAACTCGGGCTCCACCTCCTTCCAGATACTTCACATACGAGGCAGCTATGAAGCTGGTTTTATCGGGGAAGTGCCGCATGATCAATCCATTAGGACGAAGTTCCTGGGTGAGAATTCCGACAACAGGCGATTCGGTGTCCGTAGAGGCACTTAACAGAGATCCAATAAAGATCAGCAGGCTGATCGCGATCTTTCGCATTTTGGAGCCCCTTTTTAAAGCTTAAATGTTTACACAGATTTTGTTCAGTTCTTATTCATTTTTTTATGCCTTCGGTTAATCGAAATATTTTACGTTGCTCTGAGGATATACATATAGTAATACTAACGCAGTGACTAATTTTCCGTAATCAAAGGTAATACATTTTTGGAGCATAATATATATTCTCAGACAGAAAGGTTTCTTATTTGAAATAAAAATAATGATTTCATTCTTACATAAATGGCTCTCCTTGTCCGCAGGTATGTTCTTATCGAGATCGATCTCCCCAGTAAATTATTTATGGCTTCATTGACAAAAAAGGTGTTTTTAAAGTGCTTACCTTCGCAGGGTATTATAGTTTTGATAACAAGTTTGTAACGTATTGAAGGAAATATTTTGGAGGTTTGTTAAAGGTTTTTTAGCATTGAAGAAAATTTTATTGCTTTGGTAATATATCCTTTTTATTTGTGCAACAGAATTCCCGCCTCCAAAGGCACTCCTCAGCCACAACTCGGGACTAATGCACAGATGTATCCAACCTAAGCCAGCTCTTAGCGGAAACTGCTCGGTGCAGCGGCGAGACGTTCAGATTTATACAAAACAGGTATGACGATGTAGTGGTTGTATGTTATTCACAGGGTTCCCCACATCGACGCCTAAAGTTTTTATAATATTACTTTTCCGCTCGAAAAAAAAGGGGAAGAACACTCCACTTCCAATGAAGTCTACTTTTAAAAAGGGTTTTGGTATTTGAAGCATAGATTAAAAAATGTTTTGGAAATTTTACAAACTGATTATTTATGAAGTGCACTGACTTTTTGTTGCAGCTTAATCACATTATACAACAAACGATATTTTGACTCATCAGCTGATAGGAACAAGTTAACTTGTGTGAGTGTTTAAGCCAAATCGATTGCTAACAACAATCAGCTGCCTAGCAAACCTTGCTGCTTTTGTTTGATGCTGCTCTGAATGCTCAGAAGGTACTTCATCTCCACCAGAGTTCCTTTAACTCCCTGGAGATCCTTGGCTTCGAAGAGTGAGCTCAATTTTTGGGCCATTTCCTCCAGTTCCTTGACAAGCTGGGCATTAAGATCCTCAAGAGCCTTTGTGTCTTCTGCCTCCTCTACTTCTTCATTGCGTTCCATCATGGCCATGAGGAATTCCTTATTTAAGGCACTATTGTCCTGTGGCATCTGTTCTCCCTCCAGCTGCAGCAGGTATTGGCCACGTTCAATAGGTGTAGCGAGGGTCTTGTATGCCTTGTTTATCAGGGAACTCCAGTCGGCGGAGTTGGCTTGTTCTCGGGATGTTCTGGAAATTAAAACATATTACCTGGTTAGTATTTAAGTAATTTGTTTTCTTTAACGTAAACTTACTTATTGCTATATTTATCCGGATGCACTATGGTCTGCAGTTGCCGAAAACTTTGGGTCAACTTCTGCGGCTCCAACGAAAACTTGGTGGGAAAGCTTAATAGTTCAAAGTAATTCTAAACGAATCCACTGTTAAGTTTAATAGATTGATGGATGGAATAACTACTTACTATTCCCGCATCCACATCCTGTAGGTGTCCACAATCCGAACAGATCATATTTTGCCTTAGTTCGGACTTATTTTGGCAATTCCAGCAAGCCGACGAGGAGTTCGCGGCAAACAGTCGAACTTGAGGTCGCAAAATTAGTTCATTCTGCAAAAGAACATTTCTTCCATTTGGTGTGTAATTTGTTGTTCTCACAGCACTTCTTAAACCATTTATTACACCCCGCATATTCTATACTTATTTAAATAAAAACTTTTATCCGCAAGTCGAAGGGTTCAATAATTACACAAGCTTAACAATAACAAAAGACAGCTGATTCCCATTTGATTTGGCAACGCTACTTAAAAGTGTTGTAAAATTAAAAAATAAAGGAAGAAAGTAATAAATCTAAATATTACTTAAAGAAAATAAAATAAAATTTTCTAATATCTATTGGTAAAATTAAACAAAATGTTAATTTTTACAACAAAAAACAATTAACTGTTTTTTACCGGAACTTCACACAAAAATAGGCCTTACCAGTCATCAAACGTTTCCCAACACTACTGCTTGCACGTTGCGAGTATTAAACATATTTTATTTTTTATCTGGAGTTCAACTACTTAGCCATGTCCAGCGCGGCCGCAAGCATTCCGGAGGGGGGCGAGACGGCGCGCCCGGAGCCCATCTTCCGGGAGATCAACGCCCAGCAGACCGACGAGGTGGTGGAGATCGAGTCCGCCTGCATGGCCTGCTTCCAGACGGGCACCACCCGGCTGCTGCCCACGAAGATACCATTCTTCCGAGAGGTTGTGCTGATGTCGTTCAGATGCGAGCACTGTGGCCACACCAACAATGAGATGCAGTCCGCCTCCGAGATACAGAAGTCCGGCATCAAGATAGAGCTGCAGGTAAAGACCGTGGCTGATCTCAACCGGCGGGTGGTGCGGTCAGATAACTCGTGCGTCAGCATACCCGAGGTTGAGCTGGAAATTCCCGTACAATCACAAAAGGGCGAGGTGACCACCGTTGAGGGAATCATTGAGCGGACTATAGCCGGACTGTCGCAGGATCAGGAAAAGAGGCGCATTGATCATCCGGAGGCAGCAGCTTCGATCGATGCATACGTCGACCGGCTGCACAAACTGAAGGAGGTGGCCACGCCTTTCCGGCTGCTGCTGGAGGATATCTCGGGGAATAGCTTCATCGAAAATCCATTGGCCCCCGCCACCGATCCCCAGCTGAAAACGACATACTTTACGCGCTCCCAGCCGCAAAACGAGCAATTGGGGCTGTATGAGCAGAACCATGAGGAGCAGCACTTGCTGAAACCGATTGCCGAGGACGAGTGGCCCATCGAGAACCTCCACGGCGAGGTTCTGCAGTTCCCCACCAATTGCCCCAATTGTCAGGCTCCCTGCGAGACGAACATGAAGCTTACAAACATCCCGCACTTCAAAGAGGTGGTAATCATGGCCACTGTGTGTGGCACTTGTGGCCACAAGACTAACGAGGTGAAGTCTGGTGGCGGCGTCGAGCCCCAGGGTGTGCGCTTCAAAGTGCAGATTACCACTAAGGAGGACCTGACCAGAGATGTGCTCAAGTCTGAGACGTGCAGCTTATCCATTCCGGAACTGGACCTGGAAGTGGGGCCGCATGCATTGTGCGGACGCTTCACCACCGTGGAGGGCCTCCTGGTGGCCATGAGAGATCAATTGGATGGCACCTTCTTCCACGACTCGGCGGACGATACGACCAAGCAGCAAATGCAGCATTTCCTGAACACCTTCGACGATATAATGAAGCTGGAGCGGATCATAACGCTGGTCCTGGAGGATCCAGCCGGCAACACCTATGTACAGTCACTCAGCGACGACGACTCTGAGCCGGATGAGAAGCTCACCGTGGAGCGTTATGATCGGTCCTTCGAGGACAACGAAGATCTTGGACTAAACGATATGAAGACGGAGGGCTACGAGCAGAAGGAGGCGTGATGATCAAATCGTCCTGCCGGCTGGACTCTGCATTTAATAATAAACTGTAGACTTCTTTTCTTAATTGTGAATAATTTAAATGGAATAATGGATTTTACTAAATGCGATTACAGAAAAACACGTGCTTTTATGTAAATAAGTATAAAGTTTAATCCAACACTCGACTAAAAACTAGGTTCTAGGTGGGCTGTCCTTACATCGAGTCCTTCCTGTAGGCGCGATAGCTATTCATCTCGTTGGGAAAGGTCTTATACAGTTCGATGAGCAGGTTGGACTTGAACTTCTTGAGGCTCTCGATCTTGCCCTTGACCTCCTCGTTCTTGGCTAGTGCCTTCTCCACACAGTCCTTGGTGTACAGCTGGGGATTCTTGTCCTGATCGATGTAGTCAAAGAAGACCTCGAAGGGCACATAGACGTCCTGCACCTGGGAGCGGAGCTTGTCAATCTCCTGGAGGCCGGTTACCAAGCTATTTCTATAAATTAATTTATATATTTAAAAATATATAGCATTATATTATGTATTTAAACTTTTACATCTTTTGGTTGAGAACATTCTGTCCCTGCGGCTGGAAGTCGCTGACTATGATCCGAATCTGACGAACGTTCTCGATGAACATCTCCAGCTGCGTCTCCAGGTTTTCCAGTGGAGCAGACATTTTAAGTTGAAGTTGATCTGGCTTTTATCAATTAATTCTTTTATTTGTTTATTTCGGCTGCGGTGATATTTTCTTTTTCTCTACGTTCTTCTTCTTCTTTGAAATGACTTTTTTGACCAGGGCTCCCTTAACGCATTTATGAGTTTTGAGATTTAACTATGCGTGAGCAGGGTCACACTGCCTGACTGCACACTTTTGCCCAAAACTGCGTGAATTTATTTTTGTAATCACATAAAACTTAACAATTGCTTAATTAACTGCCATATTGTTTAAATTAAGAGTTCAGAATGTCGGATGGTGATTTGGATGCCTTACGCGCACAGCGCATGTCCCAAATGCAGTCGCAATTTGTAAGTAAAGCCAACCGGAGGATCCAAACCGGCTAAGATTTCTCTAGAGATTCCAAAAATAACCACAACTTGGAGAAAGAGGTGTGGAAAACATCATTGTTTTAGGAAAATATAGAAATACTTAAGCGTAGACTGGAATTCCTAGTTTTTCTTAAACCCGCTCCTGGTTTCATCCCAATAGTCCTATGAGTCATCTTTGTTTGTCTGAGACACCTGTTCCTTTACGGCCGTATCCTTCAGTGACCTTTAATCCTTTCCTGTTTTTTCAGGGCGGCGGCGGAAACGATGCGGAAAAGCAACAAGCACAACAGGAACAGATGCGCGCCCAGGAGGAGATGAAGCACTCGATACTGTCTCAAGTTCTGGACCAACAGGCCAGGGCGCGTCGTAAGTACCTCGAGCAAACCATTCAAAAGATCACTAAACCCTTATACAACCTCATCCAGTGAACACCCTTAAAGTGAGCAAGCCGGAGAAGGCACAAATGTTCGAGAACATGGTTATCCGCATGGCGCAGATGGGTCAGGTGCGTGGAAAACTCGATGACGCCCAGTTCGTGAGCATCCTTGAGAGCGTCAATGCCCAGATGCCACAGAGCAAGTCCACCGTAAAGTACGATCGCCGTAGGGCAGCCATCGACAGCGACGACGACGACGACTACGGCTGCTGATTAGGTCGCAATGCAGCTCATAATTTAAGTTCCCTCTGTTCTACGCATCCGCTAAATAATTTTTATTAATTTTACTAACTTAAAAACGAGAAAAAAAGAATTCAACATGCACGCATGCGATTTGATTTTGTTGTGTCAAATGCCGGATATTAAAGCGGATGTGGAATTTCTCGCCCAGCGTATATGAGATGAGTTGACATAGGACTAGATTTGGCTTACATACACTATATATGCGGTAGAAAAGTTGCTCTAGGGGATTGAAGTGGGGTCTGCTAATGCTCCTTATGGGGCTCCTTAGTCATTTTTCTACTTCTCTTGGTTTTAAGCTTTGTTCGTAAAAATCTGGAGATCTCCAAAAATGCATTTTTGGGTCGCTTTTCCATTGCTCAATCGGAAATCTTCACCTAATTTCTGATCTACACTTACTCCTTCTTTTCGTGGTCTTCGTCTTGATCTTCCTCGGTGACTAGACAATCTCCACAGAATATAGAGTACATAATTAGCGAGAGGAAGCCCAGCGGTAGGCCAAAGATGACAGTGGTTAGCACCGGATTGCCCTGCCACATGTCCTTCAAAGATCTGCGAACCTCGAAAAGCGCCCGATTTAAGCGTACAAAGTATGTGTCTCCACCGTAGGCAACCGCACTCTCATTGCTTATAGACTCCAGGAACAGATGCAATGCCTGAGGGGTCATCTGCATGGGATCATCGTCTGGTATAAAATGATGCTGGGTGGTCGAGTTAATTGCTATCAGATGAGGCGTGGGCAGTTGGTCCAGAATAATGGAATGTGCTATAGATGGCTCGCCAATCTGAAAGAGATACAGACTTAGATTAAGTTGTCTCTGACTAACCACAGATTATCCTTACCCATCCGAATTGGAACTTCTCGTGATAACGCGGCCGATGCTTTCTAATCACACCTTCGACCATGTCTCGGAACTCTAGTTCATGGGTGGCTATCTGATTGAGCTTATCCTCTGATACCACAGCCAGAACCAGATACTTATTAGTCTTCAGCAGCTGATGGATATTGAATCGTGTGACCTTCGGGAACAGGGTGAACCGCTCCACATTCACCCATTGGAAAATGGTCTCGTTTACATCATTCGGATCCATTTCGTGCGCCAGGTGTCCATGGGGATAGAAGTGGTGCTGCTCCTCCTTGTAAACTATAACCGCTGGCAGTTTCTCAAAGTCAAAGTGCTGGGCAGCGATGTCCTCGCTCGTAGCATAGAAGAATCCGTGCTCTTGATAGCCCTCAGCTGCAGCATAGTACGTATCCCACACCACTCCCTCCTGCTGTCCCACAAAGATGAAGAAGATCGTGTGCGATCCCTTGAGCATATCCACGCTCTCCGTCCGCGTTACCAGCTGAACCGGAGGACCGGACATCCTTAAAGCATAATCCACAAGCTCATCGCGACCACGATCTCCATTATAGGTGAAATCCATGTTGCCTTTGATGAACATGATGGTGGGATATCCTCGGACCTGTAAATTTCTAAATGTAGTTCTATTTAGATAAAGGCTTATCCACATTCCAACCTTAAACTCCTTTGCAGCCGCCGGATACTTGGTGCAGTCCAAGCGACCCACCCGAACATTGGTGGCATGAAGCGCCTGAGCCACCAGGGCGAAAATCGGCTCGGTTTTTTTGCAGTATCCACACCACGGCGCATAGAACATCACCAGCCACTGACCCTCGTGTCGCACGTCTATGAACCGGTCGCTCAGCTCCAGAACCCTCGACGAAATGGCCGCTGAGCCCAAGGTCACAAGGAGAGCTATCGATCGAGTGTATAATTAAATATTAAATTCGATTTTGTCTACTAATTTATTTACCACTCAGGAGGCCCCATGTCCACAGGCAGTTCGGAGACATCTTTGCAGCTGCTGATTTACTTTGTACTTCCAAGTGTTCAGTTGTTTGCTCCTACTTTTACTATATCATACTTAATGTTTGCTTCTTGTTTTCACGTAATTTAATTAGTTGATTGGTTTAATTTTCAGCTGCAAATTATTTTCTTTCGGGCCGCAGCAACAACAAAAGAAAACATTTGCCAAAACCACCCCCACCGAATTAGAGTGACCAGATGGGAACAGCTTAAAAACGTTGGTGATGAAGGATTCTTGAATCCCCCGCACAGCATATAGTTAATTCAATTTGATTTATGTTGTAAATAATTCATTAATATAAAATTAGCATTAAAGAAATTCTTAAAAGGATAAAGATATTTAACCTTATTTAAATTTTAGGTATCCAAATGACTTTTAATGTTCTTTAGCTGCAGTACACGGGTTAAATGTAGTATATTTTCCACCAAATGGCAGCCCCGGCGGTTTGTTTACCTCGTGAGTTTAATAGTCTGGCAACTCCTCAGCACACACGTGCAGCTGCCGAGGAATTTTGTTTTAGTTGTTTTTACTGGCTTAAAATAATTTGTTATTAATTAATAAAATGACAAACTTGGTGAAGAAAGAACCCCAAGAAGGGGGTAAGCATCAACTGCACAACGTGCGCTTCTACACAATAAAACCGCGTGGTATCACCAGTTTGGCGTATAGCAAGCAGAGCAAGTGCCTCGCGTTGAGTCGGTAAATCATCATGAAATTTAAAGAAACAGTGAAAAGTACAGAATATTAACGAGGGCTTTCACATTTCAGGGAAACTCCCATCATAGAGCTATGGAATATGGAGTACACACCCTATCTGGATCGCACCATTCACCTGTCGTCCGATGTTGCGGTTGAAGCCCTAGCTTGGGCCGGGAATCGCTTGTTTTCCGTTAATCTCTCGGGCCAATTGATTGAATGGGACTTGGTAAACCTAAAACCACGCTACGAGCACTCACCCACTGGCAATTCACTCTGGTGTCTCGACATAAATGCCGCGGAAACGGAACTTGCCGTGGGCTCCGAGGAAGGTCACATCAACATCCTGAGCATCGAGAATGACGAGCTCACATACAAGTCGCTGTTCAACAAGCAGAAGGGTAGAGTCATCTGCCTAAAGTATGATAAATCGGGAAAGAAGATGGTAACCGGCACTGAGGGATGTGTTCGTATTTGGAACGTTCTCAAGGGAAATATTCTGCACACAATGACTCTGTCGGCCAAGGATGTGACTGTATGGTCCCTGCTATTTCTATCGGATAATACCATCGTTGCCGGCGACTCGGCAGGACTTGTGACCGTATGGAATGCAGATAATGCCACGCAGATCCATTGCAGCCGAGTGTTGGACAAAAACGTATGCGCCTTGGCCGTAAACGAGAAGGAGGATCGCCTGGTTTGCAGCGGAATGCAGCCGCCTCTGATCCGCATTTTCAGCAAAACCCAGATCAAGCGGGAGGAGTCCACCAGTGAACGGTGGGTCAAGTTTCTGCAACGCGACGCTCACAAACACTATGTGAAGTCCCTGGTGGTCATCAATGGCCGGATTGTTTCTGGCGGCCAGGATGGTATTTTAACCATTACCTCCAGCGAGCGAATGCAGGCACATTTCTCGCAGCATGCTCCCTTCCTCAAAGGTTCTGTAGCATCAGTGGCGGTCAGTGAAAAACTTTTGCTCCTGCGTTACCCCAACAGCCTGCACCTGTGGCGCTTGGGTTCCGTGGTTCCTACTTCCAAGGAAAAGAAGAAGATGCATTGGAAGCCGCCAGTGGGCCACACAGAAGATCTGCTTCTGGAAAATCCTCCCCAGAAACTACTTGAACTGAACGTAAAGGAGAAAAACTTTATTCAGGCCAGTGCTATTTCACCGGATGCTCAATTGATCTGTTACTCCACTTTAAAGGAAGTCCGCCTAAGTCGTTTCACAATCGATCCCCTATCGGTAGAGCGTGTATTAGATAGTTTTCCAGCGGAACTCAAGCCAGCCAGCCACATAGTCTTCACCAAACAGGAAAAACTGGCGTTGCTCCATCCCCACAACAACCATCTGAGTTGGTTTACCGTGAAAGAGGATAGCATCATCTTCCAGAATAGCATAGACCTTAGTGAACATTGTAAGGGCGTCATCAGCCACCTGGTAGTTTCCTCGCAGGGCGACTATCTGGTTGCAGGGACCTCAGATCACATTGTTGCCGTTTGGAAACTCCAAGGGAATCAATACAAACACTTACTGAACTTGCCAAGGCATCGAGCCGCAACAACTGCTGTATCGATGCACGAAGATCATCCACAGGTTGTGGTGGCCTACGCCAATGGGCGACTGGTGGAATACGATCTGGTCAAGCGAAGCTTCACCTGCGAAACGGATGAGTACCTGATACCGGACACAAAACACCACTGCATAACTGGGATCATTTTGGATCCCAGGAATCCCAATATCTTCCTTGTAAACACCGAAGAAAACTTGTATGTCCTGGAGAGGAACCAGCAAACAGAACAGGAGGACTATGTAGTCAGCAACAAGACCAAGAAGCTAGCAAAGGATAAACGATCTTCGGTTTCTACGAGCTCAAAGAGCTTGATTGTGAAGATGGAATTGCCACGACAGGTGAGATCAGGAAAATGTTTTTTGCAACTTCATCCATCCCTTTGTACATGCATTAATTCACTAGAGTTTACCCTTTACATGCAACGAATTTCTCACCTCAATATTTGCCTCCTTTTTGCTTGCAGCACCTGGTGCACGTGTCCCGGCTGAGCTCTAACGAACTTGTCAACGTCAGCATTTCGACAAACAATCTGTTGGCTCCGCTGCCGCCGCCGTTCCAACGGAAGAAGTTCGGTGCCTCGTAAACAGGTTGAGGATGAAATTTCTGGCGGTTGGATGAATGGTGGTCCTTCGCTTAGGTTTACCCAGTAGTTTCCACTTAGTTACCAAATAAAATCAAAAGTAGAAAACAATGGTGGAGTGGAGTAGCTGGGTGGATGGATGGATGGATAGATGGATTGTTGCAAGGCCCGCGGCTCGCACTCGGCAGCATTCGCAGGGAAATTTGTCAAATGTATTGCCAAAAATTTGTCTCCGCCAGTGTCGACGACGAGAATGCCTCCTGCTTTCCCCCTCGATTTTTTTCAAGGGGTCTCTCTACGTGGATTGTGCAACATTTCGTTTCGTTTCGTTTTGTGTCGCCGGCATTTACTGTAATTGTTGTTGCTGTTATTTTTTGGTTTTACACTGTCTAGCCAATGTCTAGACAAGTGCATACCACACAGACAGTCGAAAACACACGCACACACAGACACACACGAAGAGAGAAGGCGGCTTTTGAGGGGGAGTGGCCCCTGGGGGTCCCGTCGATGCACAATTCAACTTTTAGCTCAAAAACTCATTGCCCGGCTGGGTCTGCCGCTCCTGCTCCTGCAATTGTGGGCGGCAGGCCGAGCGGGCGGACAAAAAAGTATCCTGCAGCCATATTCGAATGCCAGCAGAGGCTTTTGCTCGGGCTGGGTCATGACCACTCTCGGATCAGAAAGGTGATTAAAACTTTGCATTCGCAGCGAGTAACTTTCACATCTGATGGATTTCCACATCGCAGGAATTATAATAGATTTATAGTATTAAAAACAAAACTCATTTTGGCGGTTGTTCAACGCTTAGGAATATTTGAAAGAGATTAAATGAGGGGTCCCTTACAATGCATATATTTATCTTTTTTTTTTTTTTCCTAATATAATTTTGAAGTAAATGTTTTGGACCTAAATTCCTTACTAGGACATTTATTTCCTTTATTTTACTGCAAAAGATAAGTATTAAAATAAACATTGAAAATATATATCAAATATCTAAAACAATCATGGATTCGAATGTAAAAAATTAGTTTTAAATATGGTATATTCATAAAATAAATTATTATATAGTAAATATAGTTATTTTCTAATGCTAATTATATAAAAATCAGGTGATTTTAATGTTTACCTCCTTAAATAAAATTATTTTAATTTTTGTCAAAAAAAATCAAAGTTAATAGATTCAAAATGTATTATTTTTCATATAAAAATATCGAAAACTTTATTTTTTAATCTCTAACTCTAAACTAAGCTTTTTCCATGATAATACAAATTTAACTAACGTATATTACTCTTTAAAAAATGATTTTTACAAAGGCATTGCAATTTATATTGAGAGCATTCCTGATTCGACTTTTCCAGGACTCGAATTTTCCATCTTGTCATGTGCATTGCACTGTGCAATTTTTTTCTGATCCTTGTTTTTTCTTTATTTGCACACAGATTTTTCGGCCAGGAGGAAAGTCCCCAACCCTTCCGTTTGGTAACTTTTTCCCGATCCTGACCATAACCGAGCGACTGACTGACTGCCGGCTGACTGTTTGGCTGCGGTTGTGGGGGCGTGTGTGTGTGTGTTGGTGTGTGTCATTTTCCGAGGGGGCGACAGTTTTCGCAATGCAAAGCAAGTGGTGAACAGACATGAATAATGAGTGAATCGGGGCGAAATATTCAAACTAACCATACACAAACTCTAAATGCACATATAACGTATACGCAACGTATGCCAATTTGGTTGCAACTACACTTGTGCCCAAACCCACAGGATCCACCGAATCCACCGGATCCACCCTTGGGCGCTTTTGTCGGCATTAAAACTCACTTAGCCGTTGAAAGGCGTTGGACGGTTGGAACTGGGAGTGGGGATTTTGGGGGTTTTGCGAAAAAGTTATGCAAACTACGCAATGCAAACTACGGAGAAAAGTCGGGCTGCAGCAAGGAGTCAAAGGAAGAAGTCGTGAGAGTCTGCCAAAGAAGTCTAGACAGGCAATGGGCGAAACTTTGGCGGTGGCGAGAAAAAAAAGTAGATGAAGGAAGAAGTTTATTCCGCAAAAGACACAGAAGTCGCGCCACACAACAACAACAATGCCTCAAATTGACATTTAATTGGTTTGCAAATTAGCCAAGGAAACGAAGAAAGAACGGAATCCATGTTCGCATGGGAATTTTCACCTCAATTGCACCTTTCACCCTTGACTATTCAGGGATGCAAAGCGGTTTTGTATTTAAGATTAAGTATACAACTTTCAGGGTTTAGAAAGGTAATTTAAATCTAAGCTGAATTTTTTATGTTTATCTTTTATTTATTTATTTGTCAATTTTAAACCTCTGTTATTATTTATTCAAAGGTCTGCTTCAAAATACATCCTTCTCAAACCCCTAACCAATTTGACTTGTTAATTATTGTAGATGCTAATTAGTGAAATTTAATATACGTTTATAAAAATAATTGTGTGAAATATATGATTTAAAAAACTCAGTAAAAGTACTTAAAATTCAGCTATGCACTTGATCCTTTTTTTTATCCTGTTTGCATCCCTGCCTGCCTGCTGCAAGCCCTTCCTCTCCGCTGTTCGACTGCAACCTCAACCGATCCGAGGTGCTAATAAACAAGGACTCTTGCTGGCTAAATTACAGCCGCTAATGAATGAAATGGGATAAAGCTTAATTTGCATTTAATAATATTAACGCTTGCAATGGAGAGACTAGAGAGTGGTAGAGCGGTGTGCTTGGTGGTGCTAATTGAGGGGTGCGTGTGGGTTTTGGGGGGTAAATGCTCGCATCAGCATAAATCGCATGCGGTTGTCATGGCAGTGGAGAGAGAGGACAACCAACTCAAGTCTAGACAGGGATCCATGGGATGCAACAGCAGCAGCAGCAGCAGCTGAAGCTAAAGCGACGGCGGCAGTCCAGAGGACAATGTAAGGACAAACGTGTCCTGTCTGTCTGGCAATGGTGGGGGTCAAAAGTGCGGAGGTTTTCAAGGGGTAACTGCGCCCTTGTCTGAGGCATCGTAACTTTTGGCTCAACACAAAACTTGATTGAATTTTATGCTCGCCCGGCAACAACAATGAAAGGAAAGCAATGGAGGAAAAGCCAGCACTTAATTGGTCTGAAGGAAAACTCTTTCAGAGCAGCCGCAACAAAAACACAATATTAATGAAACTGCAGCTGTGCAGGTAATGACCATCGCTGAAAGGTCAACTGGGAGCTCTTGGAGTTGGGAGCTCAAGTGTCTTTTGGGTTCATAAAAATCCACTTTATGAGTAACTCTTGGGTCAACAAATATTTTGTATTTTATTTTTATTCTTGTATATTTATGCGCGTGATTTTCATTCATTGACACATCACTGGCACTTGGAGAAATCTTTAAACAATAAATTTGTTTATTAAATAGCAGTTAATATTTTGTTTGTTTGTTTGTTTGTTATTGAACTCATTAAAGATATAGTTCAAGTGATAAAACACAAATTTATAATTGAAGTTTTTAAAGTGGCAAACTATTTTGATAACATTCCAATTAAATTCTATATTTAAATTGTATTAAAGTATATTAGAATGATATTGAAGATGTTAATAACTATTTATTAATAAAAATGATAATACTATTATTATATTTCCAAGTTTATTAAAGTTTCAAGAACTAGTTTTAATTATGACTCCAATTAAAATATCAAAATCTTTGGACAATCAAACTGTATCTAAGCAGTAAAATATTTAATATAATTCCTGGCTATTTAATTTTATAAAAAAATATATTTCAACCTCTAGAAATTATTATTCGATTATTTTTTTAAAAAAGTACCGGAAGTCCTTTTCTTATAGTGCTTGCCGAGGCGACAGGAAAACGTTCATTGAATTTTGTCCTTCGCTGGGCTGCCAAAGGACAAATGCACAATAAAGCAAGATACATTGAACAGGGGGAGGCGGGAAAACTACCAAGGGGGGAGGGGGAGAGGTGGAAATAAGGAGTTGTGAGAAAAGCTTCGTTCAGCTGACGATGCGACGCCCACACAAACAGAAACAATTTGATATGCTTGACGCTTCTTCCTGGCAAGTTTTGCAGTTTCATTGCACTCGACTCGACTCAACGACGAGTGCAATGTCATCCAGGCACATCCTCCGGCAGCTTCCCATGCTCTCCTCCCTCCTCCCGTTCCCTGCTCCTGGGAAAATCCAACCAGGAGTCAACTTGTCAGCCGGCAACTACAATTTACGAGCATTTTCACAACGCTAGCAGCTACTTTTGCAGCGCTTCGATTTTCATTGCATGCTTTTTGGGGCGGCAAAGAGAGAGCGAGACTTCTCCAGTGAATTTTCCTCCTTCGTCGCTTTTATTGGTGTTGGAGAGTCCTTGGCAATTGCATTTCATTTCCCGCTGGATTTGGCTTAAGACTTAAAGTGTTCCCCCATGAATTTTAGATTGCTTGTCTGTGGAAACCACCGAACTTAACAGTACTCTGTTGAAGTTAACCCACTAAGTTTAACAGGGTCTAGGGTTTTTATATTAATTGTAAGACAGAACTGATAGTAAGTAAATAAATTAAAATTAAAATAAATAGGTTAAACAAATTACTAATACATTTCGAATTTTTGAGGTTTATTAATGCTTAGCAATAGAACATAAGGCATACAACGTCATCAATTTACCTTATTAAAGTGATATTTAACGTTTACCATTGATTTATTGAATTACTCCTTTGCTTTAAAAATAAATTAAGCTTTGTATAATATTATATATATATATATATATATTATTTAATCTCTGTTTAAAAATTCAATTTAATTTCCTTATTCAATTTATTTAAAAAGGAAAACCTGTGAGCGTTAACCGTGTTGTTTCCCTAGTTATCTTAATTGCTGTTAGCGGCTTTCTTGTTGTTGGCTTTGTTACTAGATTTATGCATAATGTGACCAGCGTCATAATGTTCATAAACATAATTACATTTTTTGCTGCTGATGTTTTTGTTCTTGTTGTTAATGTGGCGCTTCTGCGGTTTACAGATTATAATGAGAGCAACACTACATGTGTTAAAGTTCAACTGAGTCGACTTTGTGGTGCTCTTTAAATGCATGAAACGGGGTATTTAGATAGTACAATATTTATGGAATTTTAAATTCAAGTTCATGTTGTTATATAAGAAAAAATGATTTCAGAGATAATTAAAAAAGTAGTTAGATTTTGCAAGACTTTGTAGCTGGATTATTAGAATATAAAATAATTAATATACTTAGATAATTAATACAAAAAATATACATGCCCCGGGTGAGGCTCGAACTCACGACCTTAAGATTATGAGACTTACGCGCTGCCAACTGCGCCACCGAGGCCTTGGCTCAGATGAGATTCTAGGTAAGTCAAGTGTCTCAGGTGCGCCAAAATAAGTTCTAATTCTAAATACGTTTAAATTTGCTACAAAAAAGATGCGCTGCTGATAACCTACGACAACAAGCCACACCTGAGCTCAAAATCAGAAGCTTGAAAATATATTCATATAGGGGTCCAATGCTAAAAAGGGCCTATTAAGAGCGAACCACAGGCCCAGAACCGCAGCTAGAAAAAACCCATCATAAAGTAGCAACCGCCACTGTTGTTGTTGTGTGTGATTTTTGTGTACGCGCTTCGCTTCGCAAGTTGCAACCACAATTTAATTAAGCCAACAGCAACCGCCCAGAAAGAAGGAGCCAGGGAGAGGGGGTCTGATGGAGGGATGGAGGGAAGGAAGGGGAGGGGTGCTTGGCAATGACGGTGTCCAGGAACTGTGGCATGGGGCATGCTAGATTGGACAACATTAGCATTGGCAACAATGTTGTTGATGTCAGGGCAATGTGTTTACTTTCTAGCACAAAGTGCACTTAGCGAAAATGTATTAAGGAAAGATATAATAATTAAAAGGATATTTTTTTAAATATTAATTATGGTAATTTGTGTAAAGATGTAATATGAAAAATATAATTTAATTGGGATACATAAATATGTTTAATCTTTTTAGACACATGAAGTTACAAGGAAATAGATGGGATTTGTAACGTTTTTGTAAGGAGTATGTTTTTAAATTTGTATAAACAAAAGGATATACCTTTAAATATAGTTGCAAATTAAAAGGAATTAATAAACTTTAAATAAAGGTTTGTCCCTAATAAGAACTTTCATCTTAGTAAACTTCAAAATTTATTATTTTAATATTAAAAATGAAAATAAAATATCAAGTCAAATCACATTTTCCACACTATTTTGCCCAGTGCATGCCCATGTCCAGAAGTGACCATGTCCGGACCGGGCTATCACTTTAATAGACACGTTCTCATGCGGCCAGAGTTTCCTTCCCGCTCTCCAAGCCACCCGTAACCCCTTTCCTTCTATACATATTTTTTTTGAAAAGCTACTCGGCGGCGCCTCCTCGAGTGACCGCAAACGGAAAATGTGGAAAATGACTTGTCGCTGTTTTCCCAGCGTTGTTGTTGTGGCCTGTTCTGGTTGCCCACTTGTTGTGCCTCCCTCTCTCCTGTTTTCCCATTCTTTTCCCTCTAGTTTTTCCATGCTTTTCCAGCTCGTTGTTGTAATAATTTGATTAAATTGAACGCTTTAAGTGATTTGCATTTTAAATTTCAATCAATATGACGTGACTGCCAGTTGAGGCTGCTGCAGCAGCATTGGGACAGGATGCAACTGCCAAGGCGAGACTACAAGGAGGTAGAGGAAAGGAAGTCTCTGTCTGGTCAACTGGCGCCAGGATAGCGCTCTAATGATGCACAACCGTCAACGGGTTCTCACTGGGCTTCTTCTTCTCTGTTTTTCCTCCACCTCTTCACTATCTTTATTTTTTATTCCAGTGGAAAATAATGTAGCAAAAGTTGGCGCCAAAGTCAGGGTCAGTTTGAAAACAAAGTTTGAAAGAGTAAGAAATCAATATTCGTGAATAATTTATAATTAAGTTAGGCTGTTAACTTTGTAGATATGAGTTTATTAGTCTAACAGTCTAAATTAGTTAAGTTCCCATAAGGGAATTATATATTGAATAAATGCATATCTAGCACAGCTGACTTCAAGGCTGATTTTCTATAGCATCTATATATAATATATGTATATATGAAATAAATGGTTGAGACTTACCAGCAGTACAGAGCTCACAGTTATCCCGTTTCGTCATTGCTTAATTCCTTGGAGTCCAGTATTACATTCTTGGTGACTTCAATTACGATCAGCATCGGTCAGGCGATATTTCTGGGGTCGAAGGGTTATCACTATCACCACCACTATAGATGTTAACACTCGGAAGGCCACGCACATAATGAGGTCGCTCCGACGTACAGCGCCTCTATTTATACTCCCTGAGTGTGGGAGGAGAGCAGAGAAAGTGAGAGCAAGAGAGAGTGAGTAGTTTAGAGAGTAAGTAATATTTCCACAGCCGCACAGAGAGCGATAGGGAGAATGTTATATCTCAAGAGATACCCAGAGAGAGATGTAAAGAAAGAGAAAGAGAGAGCTATTCATTGCCATTGCATTAATATTATTAAAATATTACCACAACAAATCAAGTGAATATTACGTATACGTGATCTGACATTACGTATACGCACCGTTGGATACTCAGATATAATCCGAGCTATAAAATTAGTTAGAAATCTTCCTCTCTCTTGAGGGATTTTCGATGCACATTAACAACCATAATCGAGCATAATAATAATAATTGCCAGAAATTCACTGAATAACCATTCTCTCTCCTCATCATAATATCGCTTGGCTCAACAATAAAACAGCACCATCAAATTACTGGCAATGTGCACTGATCCAAGGATCCTTGGCAGTCGAGGCATTATTCAGGTCCTTTAGTTTTAGTTTCGCTGATTGCATTTTCCACGTCTATGTGGAACGCGACGGGATGTTGTTGTGTTGCGCCGTCGCATAAAGTGCAGTTCT